TTCCCGGGTTTGGAAGGGAAGGGAACGGGGAGGGCAGGGCTCCGGGCTGCCACAGTGGCGGCCAAGGGCAGGCAGGCAGGCAAAGGAGCGGCTTCCTGCTTGCTGGCCTCCCTGCTCCCGGGAGTGTGCCAGGGGGGCCGCCTCCTCCTCCTGTGCCGGAGAGAGGCTGCGACCTGCCGGGGAGGGGAAAGGCCGGCGGCCCTCCCACTCGCTGCCCTCCGGGCTTCTCTTCCAGGGCTCACCGGCGCTTCAGCGATCTCCTGCCCAAGGAGGAGCGGGAGCAGGCTTTCCTGACAAGGGTGCCCAGGAGCAAGATCCTGATGCTGCCTGAGCTGCGGGTAGGCGGCGGTGGCAGCGGCTTCTTCGGCTCAGCTGGGGAGGGAAGGAGGGTGAAGGGCCCTGGTCTGACTATTACAGGATGGAGAATTAGACGCCTTGGATCGCTTGGCGTCTTCCTGCAGAGTCCCGTACTCTCTGAATGTGACTCTTTGGGGGGTTGGCTGGATGACCTTCTTGGCCTGGATCCCACACAGGGCTCCATCAGTCACCCCTGCCCTGTCATGCAAATACCTCTTGGCTCCTTCCAGGAAGCTGAGATCTTATCTGTATGGTGTGACTTTCCCAGCAGAGCTTCAGCATAATATTTTATAGTAACAATATGCTTGATCTTTTGGTCACGGCTTAACATTTCCTTCTCGTGCCTGCAGGCAAACCCTTTCCGGCACCGGATTTGCCATGTCTTCTCTACAGCCGAGGATGGGGATGGCAGTATGTCCTTTGAGGATTTTTTGGACATGCTGAGTGTCTTTAGTGATTCGGCTACGCTAGAGATCAAGTCACATTATGCCTTCCGCATCTTTGGTGAGTGTTGGAATGGGGAGGAGAGAATATCACAACTGTAGTCCATAGACTGACTACAAAACAGAAGAAATTAAGCCTGCCTTATTTAATTTGTACAGTGTATTAAACAAAACAAAAACCTCTAGAAAACTGTGAATGGGGGTGATCTTTTCAAAATGAGGGAGCTCAACTGTGACGGTCACTTTAATGTGAACTTGCATCAAACTTCGCCAGCTGTGCACAAAACTCTCTTCTTTTTCTTCCTCATCTTCTTCTTAAAAAGGACCTTCACCATGATGCTTTCCCATCTTTTTTAATTTTAGCATCCGGTGCTGTGTTAACACAGTCTCCAAAAATTTAAGAGCAATAGACCTAGATTGCCGTGATGGCAGCTGGATGCTAAGCATTGTTTTGAGCATAAGCCCCCCTGGCTCAGTCTGACCAGTGACAATCTCCAGTGACAATCATTGCTGAACATGCAGGTGCCATTCACCTCTTTCCTACTTAGCCCCGGGGGCAGGGGGGGGGTGCCATTCACCTCTTTCCTACTTAGCCCAGGGCAGGGGGGGGGCGGACAATGCTGCATTTTGTGAGCTCTGCGTTCTTGTTACCTCAGGTGGAAGCATGTTCCTTCCTGCACAACCTGGCACTCCCAGGGAAGTGAAGGAGTGAACCATTTCCCAGTTTTCCCCTCTGTTATCACTCAAGGTGAAAAGAAACCTTTTGACAAATGTTGTTGACACGTGTGCTCGTTTTCTGTGCTTTTGCAGAAGCCCAGAGCCTTCTGACTTTTCAGTGGCAGCTGTCTATAATATTTGACACGTGTGATGCGTCAGATGTGCAGGTCAAACAGGTTCAGTCTCTTTTTGCGGTTTGATGATAGTCCATACTTTTCAATAGCTAAACAGGACTAGCTCGGAAAAATGTGCCATTCACCCAGCGATATCAAATGAGGTGTGCTGCACAACTGTAGGATTCACCATCGCTATAAGATTGCTCGTTAGTAATTGATAACAGCGGGGTGCATGTGATGATGCAATATAGAATCTCTGTGTTTGCGAGCAGTTTCCTGGACAAGAAGGCACCGGAGTCAAGGGGAACATGGCAGCTGGGTTGGTGGTGTTTGGCCAAGGTCAGGCCAGAGGTGGGGAACAGGAAGCCCTCCAAGAGATTGTTGGGGAACAGCCATCGCCCCTTACCGTTGGCCCTTATGGCTGGGGTCGAGTGGGAGGTATAGCCTGTTAATTTTCTCCATCCCTGAGCTGCTTGGATGTTGCCAGAATGCAGAGGTGCCCTTTTGGCCGTATTCCAGAACTGGCTGACCGGTAGCCCTGTTATGAGTCCAATTTGGAGTGACAATAGTGTGCCATTATATTGACCAAGCTTGGGCTGTCACCTTGGGCACACAAATGTTGCTCCTGTGGCCTTTTGTCATCATGTAGCTGGGATCTCAGCGCTGCTGTGTTTGCAGGAGCAATAACGTCAACTGGGGTCGAGTGGGAGGTATAGCCTGTTATTTGTCTTCATCCCTGAGCTGCTCGGATGTTGCCAAAATGCAGAGTAACGTCAGTTGAATAATCCCTCCATGCGGTTTCTGGTTGAATGAGAAAGAGAGTAGGTGAGGAGACCAGGCCACAGAGGGACATGTCTCCTTAGACCTTGAGCTGCTTGTGTGCATGGACAGTGCCAGAGCCATCCTCGTTCCTCCGATTCAGTAGAGAGGATCTACTCCCAAAGGAGGTCCGTGGAAAAGTTCAGAAGTACCCCCACCCCCCCCCTGAAAAGAAGAACTTGTGATGGGGAAGTGAGTCTGACGATACAGAAATCAAGCCATTCCCCCCTTCTTGAAGAAGAGCTGTAGCAGTGAGTGAATAACCCTTTTTGGCTTGTTGAGCTCAACTTAACTGCAGGCTCCCTGCCTTGGTGCTCCTTCTGCCTAGATTTTGATGATGATGGAACTCTGGACAAGAAGGATTTAGAGAATCTGGTAAACTGTCTGACTGGGGAAGGAGAAGACAGCCGGCTGACCTCCGTGGAAATGGAGCAGCTCATCGAGAATGTGAGTGCTGTGGAGGGGGGATGGAAGTACACAAAGACAGCTGAAGATATTTGTGTGCTCGAGATGGAGGAGAAAGGGTGCCCCTTGCACCCCACGTACTAAGCCACGCTGCAAAGTACTTAAGAATGGTCCAGTTATTTTAGCAGCAGAGGCCAAAGATCACACAAGTATCTTTCCTTCTTCTTGATATTCTAATACCATACTTAAATAACTGATAACGTGCTCCCCATATGAAGCCTCAAACCTATTTCTTGAGGCAGCTGCCTCACTCTGGCTCATGGTTGGGGTATCACATTGGGTCTGCAGGTCACTGCCCAGGTGGAAGGTTGGCTATGGGTAGCTGGAGCTGGCTGTCTGCCCTTCAAGGTTCCTTCATTTTCTGCAGATCTTAGAAGAGGCGGATATTGACAAAGATGGGACCATCAATCTCTCTGAGTTCCAGCACATCATTTCTCGATCACCAGATTTCACCAGGTACCTCTCACCTTCGCTTCACCTGGGGATGGTCTTTGGAAGCCTATTCTGATGATAACCACTTTTGAGGTATTGCTAACCAAGTTCACAAGCTTCACTCTTTCCATTTGCACTTCCAGTTCCTTCAAAATTGTGCTCTGACTCTTCCCTTCTACCGACGTCTGCCGGAAGACTCAACCATGTTTCTGCAGATTAACTTCTGTCTCTCCACCACAGCCGAAGGCAGCTGTGTCAAGGGAAGGCTCAACCTTATGCACCCACCCATGCCACCCATGGAGGAGTCCAGGCATCACGCGAGGCTGGCCTGGTCAAGCTCTACCCCTGGATGGCCTGGTGCCTGGAAGACCCTTTGAGTCTTCTTTCCCCTGCAGCTGGCGTTTGTGTGGGGAGGGAAACGGAGCAAGGGCTGGTGAGGCTGCGGCTTGGGTTTTTGCCCCCCCTCCTTCCCTGTAGTCCAGCCACTGCCTTGCCATGGGTGCCTTACTTGTTTAAACCATGCTCTCTGGCAATCTGTTAATAGTTTGAAGTGGGACATCATCTCGCACACCTTTTGGTGCGCTACGTGGTACGGATTTGCCAGGGCCCATCCCAGCAGCAGAGCGTGGCTGACATTCCAAATAATACAGTGCCTTTACAGAGATGCTCAGCAACTTTAAAAGCTTCCACCCCTTGGCAGATTATTAGTGGCAACGGACTGTTGTCTCCCACCAGTGTCCCCCCACCTCTGAACTCCAGCCTCTCTCTCACTTGCATCTCCGCCTGCAAGTGCGGGAGCCCTGCCTGCAGGCTTGCTTGGGCCCACCTCTGGGGCTCCAGGTCTGAGCCTGGGTGAGGACAACCGTGTGGTTGCTTCTTAAAGCCTTAGCTTTAAGAGGGAGAGCACCAGACCTTCTTTTTAAACAAAACTTTCACTTTCATGGCCTTGCCTGGTGTCTATCTACCAATAAAGCTCAGCAGTTGGAAGCCTTTATTGTGGTGCTTTATCCCTCAAATGCGGTGTGGGAGAAAAGTGACCTTACCTTGGGATGATGACCGGGTTGGGACTGCACAGATCACACACACGGCGGGGTGGGGGTCATCTCACTTGTTCTCTTATCAAAAATAAGAGGCCCGGCCCAAACCATTTTGCAGCATCAGGCACAAAATAGGATGTCTGCCCCTGCTGCCATCTTTGCAGAGGTGCAGAAGCTGATTGGACCTTGGGAGAGCCCTAGTAGTTTCATAAATGCTTCCTCTACAACCCCAGAGGCAGCTGGCTGGCAAGGAGTTCTGCCCACCAACACAAGGAAGCAGGCATTAGCGGTGCCCCATCGTAGGGTTAGCAGTGATAAAGCCTGGCTCAGTGAACCATTGAAAAGGCTGTGGAAGGTTACACCCACTCCTATGCGTTCCTGAAGTCTCCAACCTGTTAACAATGAGCTGTCCTCTCCACCCACCTGCTTATTTCCACTTGCAGGACTAGAATGAGGCACCCGATTCATGCAACCTCTAGACCTGCAAGTGGAAAGATATCAACCCCAGAGGCAGCTGGCTGGCAAGGAGGGCCCCAGGTGTGTGGGGTGGACAGAGTTCTGCCCACCAACACAATGAAGAAAACATTAGCGGTGCCCCGTCGTAGGATTAGCAGTGATAAAGCCTGGCTCAGTGAACCATTGAAAAGGCTGTGGAAGGTTACACCCACTCCTATGCGTTCCTGAAGTCTCCAACCTGTTAACAATGAGCTGTCCTCTCCACCCACCTGCTTATTTCCACTTGCAGGACTAGAATGAGGCACCCGATTCATGCAACCTCTAGACCTGCAAGTGGAAAGATATTGTGATGAGATGGGTTTTTGAGTTAAAAAGAAAGCTTTTAAGGCATATGGGTTTTCTATGGTTTATCAAAGAGTCACAACAATTCCCATCTATCTAATCACACAGAGTCCTTTCTCAGGCTATCAGAATAACATTCTCTCTGCTCGCCTAGAAAACAACTTGTCAGCATAGCACAGATACTTTATACAAAGAAACAAGATGGAACCTCTCTGGCTCATTTCATAATTAGAAAACCCATATGCCTTAAAAGATTTTAACTCAAAAACCCATCTCATCACAGATATGGCCAGGAAGACTGTTGCAGCCTGTTCAGTGACTCCGTAGCCTGCAAGCCCAGCTTCCTTTCTCGATGCAGCCCAAGGAGCACCCAGTGTGGGAGCCGTCCATGGAGCCAGAACGTGTCTCCTTTGGACCTATGATAATCAGGAGTCTCAAAAGAAGAAAAGAGACCGGGTCCTGCAGGATGTGCCAACCCATAGTGGTGCCGAAGGATCCACTTTATGTAAAAATACACACAAACACACAACATTTTGTGGAAGTACACTTGTGAAAGGTGTAGGGCAGGAGGTGCTGTTCTCTCAGTGCTGGAGCCCAGGAAGGGGGCACAAGGATGAGCTTTTGGTGTTCAGCAGCTCTTCAACATGAGCAGAGCTGCTGCAAGCTGACGGCTGCTGTCATTCCAACATCTGCACAGGGGTCGAAGGCTGAAGTGTTCAGCTGCCTCTTCCTGGTAACCCCCCCACTGATGATAAGCCTGGTGACCAGACCCCCTTCATTCTTCATGCCATGCCACCCACACAGGGAGATCGCCTTCCACACCAGGTCTGTATACAGCCATGCCTTGGCACTCTTGGGCAGGAAAAAGGGCAGTCCCTGGAGGCACTGAGCCCTCCAACGTGGCTGGGCTGGCGAGCCAGGCCACGGCCTCCCCCTCTGCTCCCAGATGTTGGCATTTAGAAGAGCAAAGGTTCTCAAGCCTGGAGGAGGGGATCACATCCAAAAGGGTTTTCTTGCCAGCTGGAGGCCTCCCTTTTCATCAAAGTTAGACGGTGTCTACTTTTTGCAGGTCTGTGGAATTCTCGCCTTGGCCCCGAGGCAGAGCTTTGGAGGCCCTGGCCCTTGGCCTCTCATCATCCCAGCAGGGGCAACATTAGGTCTGTCCTCCTGCAGAGGGAGAGCACCAGAAGCCCAAGGCCCGCTTCCACGGATGGCTCAGAGCAGCAGGTTGGCGGGTGCCACGGGCACTGGCAGGTTCACACCACGGAGTCCCGGATCTCCGAGCCGAGGCGCACGCGGGGCCGTTGGGAAGGAGCCAGCACTTCCACAAAACTGTCGTGGACACTGAGTGGGCGCTGGTCGGATACCAGAAAAGCCACACCGGGACGGGCTGGCGGCTCATGCCCAGGGGAGCTTGCCAGATGGCGGTCGTTGAGCGCCTGGTAGCCCTTGTGGTCTGGCAAAGCACTGGGCAGATTGGCGCCATTCAGGGGCAGGCTCTCAGCTGGCAGGCCAGTCTTCCGCGAGGCCTTGGTGCGGGTGCACGTCCCCTGCTTGAGGAAGACTTTCATTGCGGTGCGGTGCTGGTGCAACACAAACAGCGTGAGCGACGTCATCGTGACCCCAAAGAGCACGCACATCACCAGGAACTCGGTCCAGTAGGTTTTGCCCTCTCGTACGGCAGAGATGCCCCCTGCAGCAGCTGCCGAGGTGCTCCTAGAGGTGCTGATCGCGTCCAGAGGGTTCTGGACTGGCACAAGCCCATCAGGCAGCGAGTGCACCATCTCAACACAATAGCTGGCCATCCGCTGTCGGAAGCTGCCCTCCTGGGACCAGCATTCATAGAGGCCAGCTTGGTCTGGATTCCCCAGCAGCACCAGCTCCCCATCTGGCAGCACGAGGAAGGAGGCGTTGACGGGGGGCCCATTGTGCATCCAGTGCTGGGAGCCCAAATTGGACAGCGGTGGGCAGGGCAGAAGCTTCACGGCATTGGGGTGCAGCACCACCGGCTGGCATGGGGACTCTTTCGCTGTGGAGAGAGAACATGAACCAGATCAGGTTGGAGTTGGCATCCTGCAAGAGTCGACTCACTCTGAGTGTAGAAGATGGGAACCTTTCTAGGCTGAAGAACAGGAGAGAAAAGACCTTCCCTTCCTGGAGACAGCGAGGAGGGGGCTGCCGACGCCCCTCTCCTTTTCCCCACCTCTCAGACCATTCAGCACCCCATCTCCACTCCCAGCTACCTACCTGGTGGTTGACTGAACACCTGGCTGCTATTCGGACAGAGGCGTGTGGCATCACCATTTTCAACATCCTGGACCCAGGGCCTGATGAGAGACAGACAAGGACAGAGTAAAGGGAGGGGCAAGGAAATGTCAGAAACAAGGAAATTTTAAAGGCACAACTACGTGCAAACAATTCCAACAAGAAAAAAAAAGATGGAAGGCAGCAAAAAAGCCCCATGTGGCTTCATAAAAAGCTCAGAGAACAAAACAAAACACATATATAGGAAGTGGAAAGAAGTTCAGGCCACGAAGGAGGAATACAGACAAGTATCAAAGAATTGCAAGGATGGTGTTAGGAAGGCAAAAGGTGAGAATGAGCTAAGGTTAGCAAGAGATGTTAAAAGCAACAAAAAAGCATTCTTCAGGTGTGTGTGTAGCAAAAGACTAGTAGCTCAGTTCAGGCCACGAAGGAGGAATACAGACAAATATCAAAGAATTGCAAGGATGGCGTTAGGAAGGCAAAAGGTGAGAATGAGCTAAGGTTAGCAAGAGATGTTAAAAGCAACAAAAAAGCATTCTTCAGGTGTGTGTGTAGCAAAAGACTAGTAGCTCAGCTACTCATGGGGAGATTAGTTAGCCTGACATCAATCCCAGGGAAAATCTGGAGTAGATTATAGAGCAGTCACTCTGCAAGCACCCTGAAAACAATGCAGTAATAACTAAAAGCCAACATGGATTTGTCAAGAACTAATCCTGCCAGAAGACATCTGCTCCCTGGAAGTCTGCTACAGGCATGATCATCCAGGACCGAGCACAGCAGATGGAACGCTGGGTGCAGCACTACTCTATATTCCAGAGAGAATTTAGTAACTGAAAAGGCATTAAATAACATCGAGTGCCTGCCTGTGTTGGAAGAGTTGAACAGTGGACCAACTACAGCAGAAATAAAAGTGGCCTTGGATTCCCTTGCCTCCGGCAAGGCACCTGAGAAAGATAACATCCCCGCTGAAGTGCTTGAAGTGCTGTCGTGTAAAGAGATCATCACCACAGAGCTGTATGAAGTCTTTTGTCTTTGCTGGAGGGAAGGTGGAGTACCACAGGAAATGAAGGATGCAATCATCGTCACATTGTACAAGAACAAAGGAGACAGGGGCGACTGCAATAACTACCGTGGCATCTCTCTTTTCAGTGTTGTAGGGAAGCTGCTTGCCCGTGTTGTGCTGAAGAGGCTCCAGGTGCTTGCAGACAGAGTCTATCCAGAATCACAGTGTAGATTTCGAGCTAATAGATCCACCACTGACATGGTATT